GTTTAAGGCCCACTTACCCAACCCCTCCTTGTTAAAACAAACCAATAATATAATTTCGTAAATGGCCCAATGGTCCAAAACAAGTGTCACATAGCGGAATCCGTACTAAACCATAACTTGATAAATAACTACTTGCTACTAACTCACCACTAAATCTGTAACAATACACACTAGCCGAGATGCCACACTTAAATTACATAAAGATCACTGATGAATCAAATAAAATAAAATGAAATAAATCAATAAATCAATAAATAAAATCTATTTTGTTATAAAATTTCCCGGAACCCGGGGCAAGCTAACCTGAGTAACGCGGGGCGTTACAGCCGGAGTCTTTGAGTTAGACATAGTAGCTTCAATGCAAACCCAAATGGCGGCTATGAACCAGATGTTAAAGCAGTTGACAATGGAGAAGGAAACCAAAACCGCCACTTCGGTGATACCTGAACCCTCTCCTATTTTACAAATTTCGGATATATCTTATGTCTATTGTGGTGATAACTACTTGTATGAGAACTGTCCAGCTAATCCAGCGTCTATTTTCTATGTAGGTCAAGGTGCCCAGTGCAATTTGAACCCGTATTCAAACACTTACAACCCTGGATGGAGGCACCATCCAAACTTTTCCTGGAGTAACCAAGGAGTAGCTAGTAGCAGTGTGCAAGCACCCGCTCAACAATACAAGCAAAACTACACTCTTCCTGGTTTTCTAACTCAACCGGCGTCGCAGCCTCAACAATACAATAAACAAAGAGGTCAAAATACTACTCAGAAAAGTGGTAGCAACGCAAGTTCGGAGGCCATGATGAAAGAGTTCATGACAAGAACTGATGCTGCGATAAGAAGCTTGGAGATGCAAGTGGGGTAGATTGCAAATGACCAAAAATCTAGACCCCAAGTTACATTGCCTGGACACACAGAAAACCCGAAGCGAGATCGTGAGGGAAAGGATCACTGTAAGGCGGTTATCACGAGAAGAGGATTAAGTTATAATGGACCCTCACTTCCAGACGAAGGAACTGATGTAGTTACACTTATTCTTGTATCCACCTCCAATTCACAACAAGAAGAGAAAGCAGAACCCATAAGTTCAGAAGAAAAAGGTAAGAAGGCGAAAAAAGGTAAGCAAGTAGTGCCCAGCACTACTCCACAGGTAGGTAATATTAAGATCCCTCCACCTTTCCCCCAAAAGCTAGTTAAAAAGAATAAGGATAGTCATTTTAAGAAGTCATATGAGATTCTAAAACAGTTGCATATAAATATACCTCTCATAGATGCTTTAGAACAAATGCCTAACTACACTAAGTTTTTAAAAGACATCATATCTAGGCGTAAAAAGTTAGGTGAGCATGAGACGGTAGCTTTAACAAAGTGTAGTAGTGATGCTCTAGGGAATCCATTGCCTGTTAAATGTAAGGACCCATGTAGTTTCACTATTCCTTGCTCAATAGGAGGTAAGAACCTAGGAAGAACATTGTGTGACTTAGGAGCAAGCATTAATCTTATGCCTCTTTCTGTCTTTAAAGAGT